GAAAAAGAAAACGGTAACCTGGTTGCCGAGGTCACGAAGTGAATTGGCTTGTTTTACAACGTCGTTGCCAAGCGACGAAAACCCAACCCCGATGGCAAAACACCGGGGGGGGCGGCTTGTTTTACAACGTCGTTGCCAAGCGACGAAAACCCAACCCCGATGGCAAAACACCGGGGGGGGCGGCTTGTTTTACAACGTCGTTGCCAAGCGACGAAAACCCAACCCCGATGGCAAAACACCGGGGGGGGCGGCTTGTTTTACAACGTCGTTGCCAAGCGACGAAAACCCAACCCCGATGGCAAAACACCGGGGGGGGCGGCTTGTTTTACAACGTCGTTGCCAAGCGACGAAAACCCAACCCCGATGGCAAAACACCGGGGGGGGCGGCTTGTTTTACAACGTCGTTGCCAAGCGACGAAAACCCAACCCCGATGGCAAAACACCGGGGGGGGCGGCTTGTTTTACAACGTCGTTGCCAAGCGACGAAAACCCAACCCCGATGGCAAAACACCGGGGGGGGCGGCTTGTTTTACAACGTCGTTGCCAAGCGACGAAAACCCAACCCCGATGGCAAAACACCGGGGGGGGCGGCTTGTTTTACAACGTCGTTGCCAAGCGACGAAAACCCAACCCCGATGGCAAAACACCGGGGGGGGCGGCTTGTTTTACAACGTCGTTGCCAAGCGACGAAAACCCAACCCCGATGGCAAAACACCGGGGGGGGCGGCTTGTTTTACAACGTCGTTGCCAAGCGACGAAAACCCAACCCCGATGGCAAACACCGGGAGGGCGGCTTGTTTTATAACGTCGTTGCCAAGCGACGAAAAACCAACCCCGATGCGGTTGGGGGGGCTGTGCTGGGTGGGGGGGTAAATAATCAGGAATTTGGCTGTGTTGGGTGGCGGGGTGGGGGTGTTGCCGGGAATAACCCTCGGGAGGGTGTGTGTGTGTGTGCTCATAGTCGTTCATGATGCCGTAGTCGTTAGACCATTTAAATCGCATCCCTACGAAGTCGGGACGGAGCACGCCGGGCTATCACCGGATCGGGCTCTCACATCACCAAGGGCGAAGCGCGTTGAGGTCTTCGGCGATTCGCATGAAGGGTGCGCTGCACCCTGCTAAGGGTGTTCGGCATCTCGTGCTTACTTTTTTGCCACGGCAGATGGCAGCTGCGTATGGATTTATTTATTTTCTGGTTCTTCCACTTCCAGAGATAGTTATACGTACTTTGTGTAACTGCCTCGAGGATGCGTGACCATTTTAACACACCGTGGTGCGATAATCCCCTTTGCGCGGAGAGTGAGGGTTCTCCACCCCGCACAACATAATCTACTCGACCACCATTATGATTACCGCAAAAAATAAATAAATGCAAAACAAAAAGCGGTAACCTGGTTGCCGAGCTCAAGAAGTGATTATTCTTTGATACAGCGTCGTTGCTGAGCGACGAAAACGCAACCCCGATGGCAATTACCGGCGGTGGTGGGATAGGACAAAATGGAGATAATCGACACTGCCTGTTCCGAAAAGGAAAAATAAGCTATAGTACGCGTTCAGGAGAGGCAAAGAGGGTACAGATTGCAGTTTTCGACACGAGGCAGATGACGAGAGGTCGACATCACTGGCAAACAAGGAACAGCCAATCATGGCCTTTATGGCATACATGAAATTCGAGTCATCCTCGTCAAACGCGGATGACGGGTCTCGTCCCAAATTCGGTAAGATAATACGGTGTGCTCTGGGCGCGGCACTTCTGACCCGTGTAGCGGTGGACAATTTACTCATGAGGAATCGCCCGCCCCCAGAACTACTCCGGGGGATCTCATAAAGAAAATGTCCTGGAGTGAACAATTGTAGGGGGGTGGGGGGTGGTGGTGGAGTTCTACTCTCCCCCTCTACATCCCGATAACCTCCGGGGTCAAGGAAACATACTCCAAGATTTCGCCGAGATCGGGGAGGGGAGCGGGGATGGTGAGTTGGTCGTGGCTTGGGGAACAACACCATCGTCATGATAGGACATTGACACTCTCCCTACATAATTGCCATGCGGGTTGCGACATGCTCCATCTCTCTCCATCGCTTTGACGGACGCGAGAATGCCACGAAAGACGATGAGCATAACTCGCCCCAAGAGATCTTTGTGTGCGCCCGAATAACCTGGGTAATTGGTGATGGGGTTCTTCAACGGAAGGCTTCCTGGGCCGTACAAAGAACGGTGCTGGCGGACGACCCCGGAGACGTGCGCACGACCGGCTGGAGAAAGTAAGTCGAGGAAGAATCAGTGCACTTGACCCATGTGATGCTAACGAAGGATTAGACAAAAGGGCCGGGGCTCGTTGTGAGGGGTTGGCGAAGTAGGTAAAGGACCAGCAATATCCTGACAATACACCGACCATGTACGACCTGTAGTCCTTTCCACTATGGGGTGTTCCGCGGTAAAGACGAATTGTCTCTCCCGCGGCGAGGAAAAACTCGAATGCAAAACCGTTTTTGGATACATGTCTAAAACGACGATTAAAAGCATTAAAAAAAGAGAAACAAAAAAAAATGTGATCGGATCGCCTTGATTGTTTTTTTTCACCGCGTTGCCGATTTCGGCGCCTCCATTTCTCCCCGGCAATCAATTCCGCTTGGCCGATTTAGAGGGGCTAGAGCCACTCAGAAAGTTGATCAGACAAAAACTCGACGTGGGAACCGAGAATCCAAAATCCCAGGAATTTTGAAATTGCTCAGCTACTGTTAGCTTTTGAGCAGCTGAAAGTCCATTGCAAATCAAAACTGGGACATTCCAACAATATATTTGTGATCCCCACCCCAAAATTACCCTGATTCGAAGTTAGGAGAGATTGAATCAACATGTAGAAAGTGTTGCGGGAGGGGGGATATTTCAGTGTAATTCCTAGTAATTCCAGGTTGTCCCTGCTTTCGCGCATATATATCAGTGCGTAGCTGTATCACGGCCGCATCGATCCCGATCGAAATTCTGACGACGGATTCTTGATGTACAACACAACATTATCCTAACCTGAAAAATTTATTCGAGCGAAGCGAGATTTCTAATCTTGCCTGAGAGGGCTCAGCGCAATATAGGGGCCGATGCAGGAAAAAAAGTGCGTGCGTGTGTTGTGTTCGCTTAAACTAGGTTTTAGAGTACAGGACTTGATTTGTGACTACAGGGCGCACTTTTTTTTTTTACACAGCAGAGCAGCAAACAGCAACAGCAGACAACACGCGCTCAGCGAGCAGACTGAACACACACGCACAGCAGACAACACGCGCTCAGCGGGCACAGCGACACACCAACAGCGCAGAGCGGACACAGCCACAGCGGCCTGCATGGCATGGCAATTGCATGATGAGTAGACGTCCGTTGGGGCCGATTGACCCGAACTCCCTCCGTGAGGCAGAGACGCACACAGACTCGCGGCGCAGACAAAGCCACGGGGAGAGGGAGCCCCTAGGCAGCCCACAGCTTGACCGGGCGAGAGCTGCTGCTCGTCAGAGGACTGCCGCCAGGCGTGCGGCGGAGACCGATGGAGCACGGGCAGAAAGGTGCGTTGCGTGTGCGTGCGTCTGGGCGGCGATTGCCGGAGAGGGGAAATCGAGTTCAAATACACCAACTGCCTTTTCTTCTTCCGCGCACACAGCACTACTACTGCAGACTACTACTGCTTTCTTCTTCCGCGCACACAGCACGACTACTGCCCACACACAACACATCGTACACTTCGTACGCACGGCACACACACACAGGCTGCGGGCGGGCCGGCAGAGAGCCGCCGCTACAGCCGCCGCTAGGCGACTGCGAGGGCAGACACCACAACAGCGGGCGGTCAACCGAGAGAGAGAGGCTGCGAGGCGCCAGCGGCAAACACCACAGCAGCTGGCGGATAACCGAGAGAGAGAGGCTGCGAGGCGCCAGCAGCAGACACCACAAGCGACAGAGGCCAGGTGTGGTGTGCATTGGTGTGGTGTGCATTGCATGCATAAAAGGTTGTTGGTACCCAGCATTTTTGGAATTTGCAAAATACTTTTCGCCGCATGTCAACTTCGCATGGTCCACACGCACGCATCACGCTGCCTTTCTTTGCAGATCACGCATCACGCTGCTGCCTTCTTTGCAGATTACACGTTGAGACTAACCTCACGGGCCCCACTTCGCAGGCGTGCAGCGGGTAGAGAACGGGCAGCAGCGGCCAGAGCCGCGGCCAGAGATGCCGAGAGGGCCAGGCGAGAGAGGGAGGCTAATGTGAAGCGGAGAGATCTTGCGGAGTTTCACGCTGCTAGGCCGCTGGAAAAGTTGGGTTGGGCCAGATTAGAGATGCAAACGAATTTCCAGCAGCCCATGACCGCCCGGAGGATGCACGTGTGCACAGTGTGCTCTGAACGTTGGGACACCGCAGAGGACGGACCAGGGGACGGACCAGGGGACGGAGGTGCCGTCTACAGGTGGGTGGTCTTTCGTGTTCAAACGCGTCGACATGAACGTGTCGGCTTGGTGCATCACGTTGCATCATGTTGCAATGTTGCAAAAAAGAAAAGGACCAGAAAAATACACTGATGTATGGAGGATACCATATGCCTGGGAAAAGAAAAATGGAAAAAAGGAAAGTGGATAGAAAAATGCATGAGCAGGGATCGAACTTTGGTCGGGATATTCATAATTTGCATACCTACCGCATATGCCAGGTGCTCTCCACTGATGTTGGCAACGGCCCTCACGTTACCCTTCTATACCCCACCACCTGCCGCCCCCACACCCGCTGGTTCGTACAGTTGTCCGCGGTGCAAGAAGGACAAGAAGAGTCCGAAGCTGTTCTCCGCCGACAACACCATGGATCCTGGGAGCGTACCCGTCGAGCTCCAGGGCCTGACCCAGACGGAGGAGATGCTCATCGCGCGGTGCTGTCCGATCATGCGCGTCCTCCACCTCAAGGGTGGGCAGCTAGGGTACGGTGGCCATGTCGTCAACGTCGCTCAGGACATCAGTACCTTAGCCGCTGCCCTCCCCAGGTTGGCCGCCGATGTACCGATCATCATCATCCGGAGGGAGGGGCAGGAACCCGGCCAGCACAAGGACCTACACGTGCGGAGGGCTCGCGTGCAACGGGCTTTGCAATGGCTCATTGCCAACAACCCGTACTACCGCGACATCGTCCTTGACAACACGGCCCTATCCCAGCTCCCCGTCGACGGGCAACTACGTGGACTGCGAACCACCGTCAGCGGGGGAGACTCGGAGCGTGACCTTGGCCCTCGGGGGGAGGGGGGAGGGGAGGAGGACGGCGATACCCCCGAGGACACGGAGTCCTTTATGGCTCCGGCAGGCAAGAGCATGCTCGAGGACCGCGCGATTGAAGCAGCCCTGCGGAGGCAGGTGAGGGAGAGCGGGGCGGATGTTCCGGTCAACGCCTGGCCTGGGATGGAGGCGACCGCCCTGAACGAGTTCAAGACAACAGGCCTCGCGTCCATGGCCTTCCCCGCCCTCTTCCCATGGGGGAAGGGAGACCCCACCGACCCGGCACGGTCCAGGAGCGTCAAGCCCACCGACGGCATGAGACACCTTCTCAAATTCTTCCGGGACGGTCGCTACCGCTTTGCATCTCACCCCCGTTTTCCTCACTGGTGCCAGAACATGCTCGAACGCCACAGGATGCTCAGCCAGGCGCAGGTCTACCTCAAGCAAAACCCAGGGGACGCCGCCATGACGATAGAGCACATGAGGCATCTGTTCCGGTCGGGTTCGCCGCTGGCGCAGCAGCTCACACAGCGCATGTGCCGGTACGGCGCCAACATCACCGGGTCTAGGCCGTACTGGTACGCCAAGCAGCAGGAGCTCCAGGCGATTTTTGCCACCAAGGGCTGCGCTACTCTCTTCTTCACGCTCTCTGCCGCCGACACCCACTGGGACGGCCTCTTCGACCTGATGCCACCAGGGTACCAGGACTCCCCAGCGGGCAAACGGAGGGCCCTCATTGAAAACCCGCATATCGCCGACACCTACTTCGGCAACAGGGCGGACGCTTTCACCTCCGCCTTTTTCGGCGGTGTACTCCAAGCCCAGTCGCTGTGGTACAGGCTTGAGTACCAGGGGAGGGGTAGCACGCACGCGCACGGATGTGCCTGGCTCCAAGACGATCCCGGTATCGTCAACCTCGTCTGCAAAGCGTACGCTGGGAGGAAGGCGGCCGAACGGATGGAGGCGGCCGAGGGCCTGGCCGCCGGACAGGGGGGGATCGGCGACGAGGAAGAACGCCAGGCTCTGGAGCGAGCCGTCGCCGACGGCAAAACAGCGGACGACAAGGTTTGCAGATACGCCGATTGGCTCATCTGCACCGTCAACACTCGGTCTACGGAGGAGCGCGCCGCCCATCCGGGGGGAGTGCCAGACCCTCACCCATGCTCCGTCAACCCCTTCAAGCACGGGCCTGTCAGCGACGAGGCCACAGGCCGTGCCGACATCGACGGACTCATCAACTGCTGCCAGCGCCACGTTTGCCGTCCTGAAGGGTACTGCAAGCGCGCTGGGCGGCAGGGGTGTCGCTTCGGCTTCCCGCACGAGTGTCAACCCGAGACCTCCTTGCAGTTCGAGGAGATGGACAACGGCTCCGTGAGAGCCACCATCAAAACCAAGCGCAACGACGGCAATCTCAACAGCTACTGCCGCCTTGCTCTCTCTCATTGGCGGGCGAACATCGACTTCCAACTCATCTTGGACTGGGACCAGGCGGTGCGGTACATGGTGAAGTATGTGAGCAAAGGAGAGAAGCGGTCGCCCGCCGCCGCCGACGTCTTCGCCCGGGCCATCGGTCGCGCGGACGATGACGCTGACGAGGCGCAAACAGTCCTGCGAAGCGTGTTCCTCAAGTGTACGGGCGAGCGCGACATTTCCGCCCAGGAGACGGCACGGCTGCTCCTCGGGAACAAGCTGTGCTCTTCTTCTTTCAGCTTCGTACGCCTCGTCGTCGACCCTTCCACCAGCACACGCCAGGTTAACCTCGACGGTGCGGCGGGGGAGGGCGCCCTCAAGAAATCCATGCGGGACCTCTACGCCGGCCGGCGCAGCGTCATCGACAAGTACCCATCCATCATGGATGTTAGCTACTTCCAGTTCCACCAGCTGTACACTCGAGACCGGGGGGGGGGGGTCACGGCGAGAGACGGCGCGGGCAGCCTCGTCGTCATCAAGCTGCCTGCCCTGCCGTGCTCTCCGGGGAGCGCGCGGCATCTTGAGGCCTGCCGCAACAACCTCTTCGCCCACAGGCCATGGGAGGATGAGCCGACAACAGCCTGCCGCGACATGGGGGCAGTCACGGACCTGGATGCCTCAGCCTCCATCTCCGGAGAGGAACCCAAGCTCGCCCTGCTGTGGGACGCCTTCGTCCAAGCCAACCAAGACCTGCCCGAGCTGCGCTTCGGCGACATGCTGGCAGGGCGGCTGTCTCTTGCCCGCCGAGAGGCCGCGTCCACGGCCGAAGACGACGACGACGACGGCTTGCTCTTAGACCAGCCCGACGATTGGATGGATGGGGCCAACATGCGGCGAAGAGGCGCCGCCAGGGAAGAACAGGAGGTTGACACAAGGTGGGACGCTGAATACAACTGGGCCGGCGCCCGAGCGACTGAGGTCCAACATGAGCTGGAGAGAGGGCCAACGTGGATTGCGAACGCCAAGAAAGCTGCAGCCGGCACTGGCCCCGCCACCGAGATTCCTCATGTGGCTCCGGACTCTCTCAATGAGCGGCAACGCAATTGCTACGACGTCGTCAGGGACCACTTCGAGAACGAGCGCGAGGAGCCACTGCGCATGATGGTTCTCGGGACGGCAGGCACGGGGAAATCATACCTCGTGTATGCCCTCTCCAGGCTGCTCGGCGGCTTCCTTCGACGGGCAGCTCCAACCGGTATGGCGGCCTTCCTCATCGCCGGCAGCACGCTGCACAGCCTCCTCCGACTGCCGGTGAGGCAAGGAAGGAATCTCCAGGGTCAAAGCCTCAAAGCCCTGCAGAATTCCCTTACTGGCGTCAAGTACATCATCATCGACGAGCTATCGATGGTCAGCCAGTCCCAGATGGCGTGGGTCGATCGACGTCTGCGACAAGGGACAGCTGTAGACAAACCCTTCGGCGGAATCTCCCTGATCATGACCGGCGATCTGGGCCAGCTGCAACCGGTGGGAGGAACTCCGCTGTACAAGCAAAACCCAGCTGCCGCGCTCAACGTTGAAGGCTATGCCGCCTACAGCCTCTTCCAGGACGTCTTCATCCTTGACAGAGTTCAGCGGCAGACGGCAGCCGCCGCCAACGACGACGACCAGAGAGGCTTCATCGAACTGCTGCCGCGTGCGCGTGATGGACAGCTTTGCGACGAGGACTGGGACCTCCTCCTGAAGAGACAGCCCAACCGCCTGACCGCCGCTGAGAAAGCGGCTTTCGAGGACGCAACGAGGCTCTTCTACTCCAAGAAAGAGGTCAACAAGTACAACGGCAAGAAACTCCGGGAGCTGGACAACCCCGTCGCTCGTGTTAGCGCCGTCCACACGGGCGCGAACGCCAGGAGGGCGACAGCAGACACCGCGGAGGGGCTCGAGAGGGACCTCTACTTAGCCAAGGGAGCGAAGGTTATGCTCTCGAAGAACCTGTACCAACAAGTTGGGCTGGTGAACGGCATTAGAGGCGAAGTCGTCGAGTTGGTGTGCGCAGATGATGCGCCCCCGCCGAAGCTCCCCCTTTACGTTGTCGTCAAGTTTGAAGGGTACTCGGGGGGGGAATGGTCGTCTCAGGAGAGGTATAGACGTTGTGTCCCTATTTCTCCCGTCGACACCACCTGGCAGGACGGGGGGACGCAGGTCAGGACGCAGCTGCCCCTTAGGCTCTGCTGGGCAATTACGATGCACAAGTCCCAGGGGCAGACTTTAGCCAAGGCCGTCATTGACTTGGGGCCCAAGGAGGCCTGCACGGGGCTTACTTTCGTCTGTCTCAGTAGGGCGAAGAGACTTGTGGACCTCATGGTAGAGCCCATGAGTTTCGACAGGATTGGTAACCTTGGAAATTCGCCGACGATGAAGGCTAGGCTGCAGGAAGAGGTTAGACTTGGGGAGTTAGCACAGAGTACGAGGGTCAAGTACACGGACATGGGCGTCTTCAGCGCCGTCGCGGGTAACCAATGACGTGAATTGCAAAGAGAAAAAGAAGAAGAAAGGGTCTCTTCCACCTCCCGCGGACGCACACGTCTGACGACAGTTACATCTATCAGCTGTCGCTCGTTTTAGCGACAGCTACTATATCTTACGATTCGGAGGCGTTTGCAACTTGCTCGGGGGGCCCGCAGACGCGATTTTCACCCAATTTTGGCCACTAATTCATCAATAAGTCATCACCACGACATCCAAATGGGAAAATAAGTATATTTTCGTGATCCTCGTGACCTAACGGATGTTGGTACAAATTTTCAGAGGTTGGGAACCATTTCTTGCTGCTCATTAAAAAACTCGTGGAAATTATTCGTCTTTACCGAGCGAGGAACCCCCCCTATGTTACGGAATTTCAATAACGACCTGCCATCGTGCCTCGATTAACAGAGGGGGGTCGACGGAAAGCGCGGTTCTGCCCTGCCACGTATGGTGCAGCGCGTCATCTCACCAAGGAGTCCAAGTGAAGTAGCTCGGGGCCACAGGCGACCATCGGTGAGTGCAGCGTCACTAGATCAAACAAAGCACGTGGCTGGTTGAGGTCGTCCGGCTGTACAACGCCGAGAGCTTCGGACAGCTCAACAGCCTCCTTGGTGCCGCGTCCAAGCTCCATCAGCTGGTGTCGACCATCTTCGACCCGCCCACGTGTCCGCCGGTGCTTGACAATATCAAAGTCTCTGCGACCGATTTCTCCCCCGACCTCGCCCTCCTTATTGCTCTGTCGCGCCTTGCAGAGTGAAAACGGACACTCCGTTTTCCGGTTATAGCTCTTCAAGCAAGTGGAACCCTTCATTTGTGGAGTGTCTCCAGTCATGGACTGCATACCTCCGCGGGCGAACACCTGCGACTTGTGCAATCCAGACACATGTGCACAGACCATCGCTGACTTGCATTAGAGGGATCAGGGTCCATGGGGTTCACAAGCAATAGCGGCACCAATAGTGATCACACAGCAGCCGCAACCCCCAACACAATAACCAATAGAGAGGGAGAGAGAGAAAGAGATACAGAGACAGAGACAGAGACAGAGACATAGAGACAGAAGCCGAGGTGAGGCGCAGAGTTGTCACACCGGGTGAGGGGGGGAGGGGCTAGTCCGAACGCGGGAGCAAGACAACCCCGCCGACTTTTACAGTTCGCCGTCCTTCCTCACATGCCATCCCCAGGAGTGCAATGGATTGCACACTGAAGGAAAACACAACGGCCAAAAAAATAATCAACCTTGACAACATCGCCCCCGACGCGTAGGTACGCGGTCATGCGTACGTGCTATTATTGGAAACAACAGTCAGTCGTGTTTATCCCGTTTATTTTCCTTGCCCCCCAACACAATAAACAAGAGAGAGAGAGAGAGAGAGAGAGAGAGAGAGAGAAGCCGAGATGTGGCGCAGAGGTGTCACACGGGGTAGGGGGGGGAGGCCCCCCAGCCCGAAAAAGAGGAGAGGATAATATAATCTTGTTTTTCGGGATAACTTTCGAAAAGAAACGATGTGGAAAGTGAAACAACTTTGGCCGTGACCGCGGCGTCGAGCTTCGTCCATATCCGATGATTTTTTGGTGATTGGGTGAAATGCGACATTTTTGACCAGAATGACCCACGGAACCCCCACCCCCCCCTCATGACCCCACGGAGCCCCCAAAGTACACCACGACCCCCCCCAAACCCCTCCCTGTTGCACTCATTTGCCTTCATAACATCAGTTAAACCGTTGTCAATCCATATATGTAGCGTTCTGAAGGAAAGCGGTGTTTGGTGGAGGCGTGTCGGAATTCGACTTCAAGGGGATAGAGCTGAAGCGTCCCCTGGTGGGGGAGCGAACGTTCGTGCAGTCTGTTTGCGTTCGATTGGACAAGCACACCAAGAAAACACCACGAGGTAGTGCCCAGCACGGAGAAGAGTTTGGACGTAGGGCTTGATCGATTTTTCGATGGCTGCTCCCTCCAGCGCCGTCGCTCAAGCGCAAGCTGCAGCCGCGCTCGCAGCAGAAGAACAAGCCGCAGCAGCAGCGGCCGCAGGGGAGGAGCAGCCGGAGGCAGCGGCGGCAGCGGCGGCACAAGCAGCGGCGGCAGCAGCGGCACAAGCAGCGGCGGCAGCGGCTGCACAAGTAGCGGCGGCAGCAGCAGTGGTGGTGCATCCTCCTCCCCCTCCCGTCAACCAAAACCCTGAGGTGAACGTGGGAGGAGACCAGCCCGCCGTGAATCTCAACGCAGTCCTCCAGCAACTTTTGGCTGGTCAACAAGCGCAGGCTGTCTTCAATGCGAACATCGCGCAGCAACTGGAGCAATTGCATCAGCAGCAACCACCGGTCGCCGCCCCGTTCGCTGGCCAATTCCTGGCGGAGCCTGCGGGAGGAGTTCTACACCCCCTCCCGGCCATCGGAGGAGTTCCGCACCCCCACCCGCCCGCTGCTGCTGCCCCGGCTCGCGCGGCCGCGCCCGCCGGTCTGTCGGAGGGCGCGAAGCTGGCGGCCAAGCTTCAGGCGAATTTGTGGGCCACGGACGCGGCCACACCCAAGTGGTTCATCATTCGCGGCGGCTTCCATGTCGGGCGCGTCATGAACAAGGAGCGGCTTACCCTAGCGACTAGAAAATTCGCTCTCATCACCGACAAGGCGGCCGCGCAAATCTCTAAATTGACGGACTTTGCGGCCGAGCACTTCTTCACCAAGATGCCAGACGGGGTGCTGCCCACGGCAATGCCGCCGCAAATGCATATCACGGTGGCGGTGAAAGTGTTTTTCGCAGCTATCGAAGCCGGCATGGGGGGGGCGGATGCTCTCTGCACGGAGCGCGTGAAGAGCCTGCACAGGGAATTTCTGGCGGTCGAATCTCAGCTCTCAGCGTACCTTACGCTCCATTTCGTGGAGCTGGCCGCGTTCCCGGCGAAGACCCGCGACACTGTCTTGGCAGCGTACAACATTGGTTTCAACGACTTTTTCCACGATCTAGCGGCGCGGGGCGAGGACTTGCTGCAGGAACATAGCAACGGCCCCCCAACGTCGGCCTCCGTCATCAGCATGGAGTCGCCGAAGTTCACGAAGCTAAAAAACCTGATCAAGGAGGAAGACTCTAATTCCCTCGTCGCGAGGTCAAAGTCATGGTCCGCGGAGAAGACGGCCCCGCCCACCCCCGCCGCCGCATCTGCCGCCGCCGCCTCCGCCGGTAAACGGAAGAGTAGCGGCGGCGCTTCGTCATCGGCGGGGACGGCAAAGAAACGAGCTCCAAGCAGCGGGGTCTTTTTCCAACCCCCTGACCACGTGTGCCGGAACTGGTGGTTCTCCACCGACTGCCACCGCCAAGTGTGCTCTTT